ATTTAAAATGTGCCTGATCTTTCTTTTCTTTTCTTTCTTTTCTGTTTTTTTTTTTTTGTTTATTTTACAAAAATGACCAGTGGAAAATATGAAGCCATTTCTGACCTTAGATCTCTGGTTGGGACCCAGAAGGAAATGTGTATACAACAGAAATCAAAGGAAATAATAACAGTAATAAAATCATGAAGGTTAAAGTCGTGATCATAGTGAGAATGGTAAGGAAACTTAGTGCCACTTTGCCTTTAGCCATTGCACCAAACCTTTGCTGGGAATATCTAAATTCTTAAGATAATAATAATAATAATAATAATAAGGAAGAGGAGGAGGAAGAGGAGGAAGAGGAAGAGAAAGAGACAAGTGATAGTCCATTGAAGCAACTTCCTGTCGCTTGATCCCCTAAGTAAAAGTCATCGAGTATTAGTGGTGTGAAATTTCATCGAGGCCTAATCTTATCAGTAGCAGTTGTAGCAGATTTGGAGAAACAAAACAAAACAAAGCCAAAAAAATCGGGCATAAAGCTGCCAATTTCCACCAGTGTTCGAAGCATCGACCAACAACGCGACTTACAGAATGAAAATAAAGGAAGCAATAGTTCTACTACTGTTTCACATTCGAGAGATGGAAGCGTCGGCGGCGGCGGAGAGGAGTCACGTTGAAAAAGTGTGAAACAAGTTTTGGAATTCCACCAGGAGACGTGACCGGCTTTTAGACGGATAAATAAATAAATGCCTTGAAAGGAAAATCAAGAGAACAGATAGAAAAGCTCGCATCATCTTTTAATAAAGTGCGAAATAAAGTAAAATGAGTAGTGAGAGGAGGGGAGTCAAACATTGGTAGAATTAGGATATTGTGAAATTCCTTATTGTTCAATAAACCAGACTAACAGATAAATAGATAGATAGATAGATAGATAGATAGATAGATAGACAGTAAGTGTATTAATACAGAGAAAAGTATAGTAATGTACGTTAGGTTCCTTACTGTGATATAAAAACACAGTAATCGTTCACAGAAAAAAAGGATCGAACACATGTTAGCAACGAATTGCTGTGATAAATGAGGTTGGTCATCACCACTTGATAATCTGTTTTCAATCAGCTATAAAGACAGACAGATATATGGAGGATAAGTTATTACAATAAACTAATGGATAGTAAATCATATTACTAACTACTAAACTTATTAGACGGTCAAAAGAATGGAATGCTCAGCGAATGTCGAATTCAATGGAATGGCATTCAAGGCTGGCATGTTGAACGGTGCTCCACACCGCGACACTCAATACTAACACACAGATAGATAGATAGATAGATAGATAGATAGATAGATAGATAGATAGATAGATAGATAGATAGATAGATCAAGAACAGAAAAGCCTCGGTAGATAGATAGATAGATAGATAGATAGATAGATAGATAGATAGATAGATAGCATACTTAACGACTAAATGTTAGAACAGTTCTCTCTTTGGAACATATCTATAAGTGTGGGTCTTCCAATGAGGATTGAACTCTCACTTCAGTGACAATTACCTGCTCAGTTAGCTGCCTAACGGCATATATATATATATATATATATATATATATATATATATATATATATATATATATATATATATATATATATATATATATATATATATATATTTGAAATATAAACTGAAATATAAACACATTTTTTGGGAGAAGTTATTTAGCGGACTAAATAGATAGACAGGTAGAAAGAAAGTCATATAAAAATAAACGCAATTCATAAAACATTTAGTCATATTTACAAGCCAAGTCCTGGGTCCAATTTATAAAAAATTAACAAAAACCATGTTTCTTAGCACCGGTCACATCTTCGACCGAAGCATCAAAACCTTTCTCTCAATGTACAAGCAAATACATTTAGCAAATGATCAAAAATTTTTGAATCTAAAAAGATTACATACCAGCTGCTTCCGAGCATAACATGGAAGAAATCCATAATCCAAAAATAATGGTCGTAAAATAATATCTATGTAATCCTTGTGACAACCACGCCATACCATGGCTTACCATCTTCTACTAATTCGACTCACTGAACAGGTTTTTCGCTTTCCCGTGGGGCTACTATTGTTGGAAAGTTGGCGGGCGTAGTAAGAAGACGACGTACACACTACCCTCCCCCAATCGCATCAAAAAGCACTACAGTTTCTGCGAGAGAAACAGAGAAAGAGGACGTGTGTGTTTGAAAGAGAAAGAGTGAGAGTGGATAGCGAGAGAGAGAGAGAGACGTACGGATATAAACAGATACATAGAGGTAGGAGCGCACGCATGTACTAACACGCGCACATCGTTTTCATAGACACTCCCCCTTTCTCTGATAGTGGCTTCTGCGCGCGCAGAGATCTGTGTACGTATTGACGATTACACGTACACACCTTCACAGTTCTAGAGCATCGTGTGTCTCAAGCTGACATCGCAAAGACTTACATAGATACGTACATATATATATATATATATATATATATATATA